CATTGGAGTCCGAGCAAATACCTGAGGGTCGTGGCGATATTACTGTCCGGAAGTAGGGTGAGCTTTTTCAAGCAGAGTGGTATGAATATTGGTATGTTGGAGTGAATGTCTGAAATGCATAGGTATGATGCCTAGGGAGCGCGAAAGGGGTTGTTCAATATACCTACCACCTAGGTGTGTTCGGCCAGGAGAAACATGGTCCGAAGCTTAGTATTTGTGTTGGTTCTTACTCACTTTGTATTTTTATCATTATATTGCTAGAGTTGATGGAAAAGAAATGGGTTAATGGAAAATGATGGTGGAATTGCAATGGTTTGCACTTTTGGATAGACAAAAACTTAGGATGATAACGTTGATTTGGACTGAAGTTTTTCTTTCATATGAAATGTTTTTGTGACTTTGAATTAGTAGGTCTAATTCTTACAGTCCGGATGCTAGAATCTTATATGTCAATGTACAATATCTTAAAACTCATCTCATTGATTCGGTGGTGGCGGCACGCATGAGGATATCACAAATCAGCCACGTGATCTCGACCAATCACCAGTTTTGAATTAATCAACCGAGATCAATAATTTGAACCTTAGTGACATCGACGACTTACTGGTAACCTCAGAACGCTACGGGATTCCCGACACCGACCTCTCCCCTCTATTTTTCCTTTCCTTGTGTTATCCTCAATTGAATTAATTGAAAGGAGGGAGATTTAATAAGATCCAAAGAAATAAGACGAACGAGATAGGCAAGACGAGCAAAATGTTCAAGACTACACGATCTGCGGGGGCAATGGTACTGAGAGGTTTGTTTTGCTTTATTCCCTTCTTTGCCTCTTCACTGCGAACACTGATGGCAACTTGACCTTTGCATTTCTATACTGATCCATCGCATCAACTATACCCTATACCCAATGCTAACACAATGAATAGCCAAGCCCGCCTCATCCCTCCTCCCTTATCGATCCCTAGCAGCAATCTCCAACAGCGCAACTAAACCAGCTCAAGCACAAGTTCAGGCAATGGAAACGAGACACCCGGCAGATAGAGGAAACCTCAAACTCAGTGTTACGGGAAAGGAGAGGAGAGAAGTGCTTCTTCCTAGTCAAGAGGGAAAGAAGGGTGTTATGCAATATGCTTTGTGAGTTTGATTTTACATTTGGGGGTTGTCTGATGGACATATGGGGGGAGCGGGACGGGCTGCAGGGGGAGTAATGTGATCAGGAGTAATGGTATAGGATAAGCGGGAGATACATTCGTTCGAAGTGTTCGCTTTACTGGAGACTTTTGTTGTGTTTTGGGACCTTTCCGCTAGAGTGGCGACCAAAAAAGGGAATGTGAGAACAAAAGCTAATACTACGCAAACAGAACCACACTTGATCAAATTGCCAATTGGGCACGACAAGGGTCCCTCTGGCCCATGACCTTCGGACTCGCCTGCTGCGCCATCGAGATGATGCATCTCTCAACCCCACGTTACGATCAAGATCGTCTTGGTATCATTTTCCGTGCTTCTCCTCGTCAATCCGATGTTATGATTGTGGCTGGTACTTTGACCAACAAGATGGCTCCTGCTCTTCGTCAAGTTTATGATCAAATGCCAGATCCACGATGGGTGATTAGTATGGGAAGTTGTGCAAATGGCGGAGGATATTATCATTATAGTTATAGTGTTACAAGAGGTTGTGATCGTATTGTTCCGGTCGATATTTACGTGCCAGGATGTCCGCCAACTAGTGAGGCGCTTATGTATGGAATCTTCCAATTGCAGAAGAAGATGAGACATACCAAGATTACGAGGATGTGGTATAGAAAGTAGATGGTCGGTGTGGTGTGGTTGGAGGTGTGGTTGGAGGTGTGGAGAGTTGAGGAATCTCATGGCTGCTTGATATAGATTGCAGATGGATGGATAGACGGATTGATGGATGGATATGCGGATGACATTGGGGTGGGGTGGGTTTAAGAGTCTGTACAAAATGTACATAGTCCACTGGGAGTTTTCGTCATTTTTTATTTTGAGAAAGGGAAAATACAATGGAATTGAAAATCTGTTGAATGTTGATTTGGCTCATATGAGGACATGATGTTTGATGGTTTGAATTTGGATTTGGATGTGATCGAAATGGGGTCACACATGTTTTTCATTTTCCTATCAGTACCTAGCTGGGCTGTAGAATGGGGGGCGAGGGCGGTGCTTGCTATGGTATTGTTATAAGTGTGAAGTACCTAAATACGTTATGAGTAGGTGAATGAATCTGCTTTGATGCTGTCGCTGTAAGTCGGAGGTAGGAGGTAAGAATCTGAATCCGAGATGGATAGATTGGCTGCTTGGGTGGGTGGGTGGATATGCTGGATATGCTGACTAGACTTGTTGGATTATGGGATTTGTGCTGTAGACTGTGTGCGGTGGGTATGTTTTGGAAATTGGGGGATGGAGATTGGGTAGGGGGATGGGATATTGGGCTGGGATCTTGGGATGGAATATTGAGATGGGAACTCGGTGGGTTGGAATGAGATGAGAGGTGATACGGGGATGGAAGTTGAATAGATGAGAGATGAGGGGGGGTTGGATGGGTACATGAGGTCTGATTACAGAGATACATCTGAAAACAAAGCGTTGTGGGATCAGCAAGCGAATAACATTGAGATGGCGGGGTCGACGAGGAGAGAAGTTTGGGAGCTAGAGATGCGGTCTGTACAGTGTAGAGGTAGCGAATGGTGTAAAGATTGATGTGATGAGAGGTCGCTGGAGAAGACTCATGCATTGCGGAAAGTAGGATAGTATTGCTGAGATACATCTCTGTGGATGGCTTTGCAATCTTACAATGTGGGAAGTTTCTCCCATCCCGTTGTATTGATTAATGGATGCTGGGATGGGAGTCGGAAGGAGATGAGTTGCATCGTATATACGTATCTTCTGTGGTGATGAGAGATATGTTATGTTTCAGTTGAATGACGACACCTTTTCTCACTGTCGCTTTCTTTCGAATTACTACTACTGTCATTGTTGTAACTAGATGATAGATATCTCGACGATGGTCATGTGGAAGTTGGTTGGCTTGGCCTAAGCATGGAATTTGATGCCGAATGGGAATTTGATGCGTGTATCCGGTCTCAGAAATCGGATTGCCTCATCGACATGGTCGATTCCTTTGTGTGGATTTTTTTAGGGGTTTTCTTCAGGGAGATCGGTGTGCTTTTATATCTGAATATGGGATTGGAGATGAACGAACTACCTAGGTAGTGCAAACTTTTCGGGAATCGGGATCTCATATTCACTCTTTCAGAATCATGGCTCGGTGAGGGGATTCTGGTGATGGAGAGATCTTTCTTATTTATGGTATATAAGACCATACACAGGCGACTAAAGAGAAAAAGATAAGGACATAACAGCCAGCTCAACAATGGAAGGAAATGGAGTTCTCATCTTGTCAGCTGAGTAGGATGGAGTCTGAGGTGTGGCACTGAAGAGGATTGCCAGATTTGAGTTCTACAAACCTGAGTACTTTGGAGATTGAGAGGAGAATATTGGTACAGTGATCAGTGAGTGATTACTAGTGACAGTAAACCTTATATTCTGCGAGAGTAAGATTAAAATGACAATAAGAACTTTGACAGTTGGTCTGACAGTCTGACTATACAAGTCGGGCTACACTTGGTAAAAAATCTTATAATGAGAAATGAGAATGAGAATTCAAGAGATGGGACAAGAGTATAGATTGTTAGAGTCCCATATTGACCAATCTCCACCTTGGAATTTATGTGTTTGGATGTTGGGATTCAGACTCGATGGATGCATTTATACCCACAGAGTCGTGACTTGAAGACGAGATGTCTAGCTCGGTTGTTTTATTTTCAGCCCTGCAAAATATATAGCGTAGTTGAAGCCGTGTTTACGTGTCAAAGTTTTCTTCCAAGAATTGCTTGTGAGAGGATATGTGTGAATTTATGTAGGTAGCAAGAAGAACTTCAGAAGAGGATAGAGAAGGGAGGTGCAATACCTTGATAGAGCTGCGGTGGGATAGAGGTGCTGAATGGGGTGAGATATTTTTTATGAGTTCCAGTACAGATGAAGTTTGGGATGTCAAGCGGAAAAAAATTTCATCCCCTGACTTAGTTGGTAAACGACAAGAAGTAAATGACAGAAGCAGCAACAGCCTATCTTGTGTTAAGAGTATAATGACAGCGATAGTTTTGCATGCTTCTTTGAATGGGCACGAACTTAGGTTTCTCTCTATGACACACAGCCAAAACTGTGGACCAAAACCCCAATAACTCAAAGTGTGTAGCGCAACATTGAGAATCAATCCAAAGATATTGTGGTTGTGACATACGTCGGTATTTCAGACATCCACATATGTTTGATTCCCTTCTCTTGCTTAAAGAATATTTATATACAAAATCTAGGCGGAATACCGAGATGTCGAAGAACTCTTACCTAACCTGATAGAGGAAGGGGCAGGATTGCAATAGTCAAGACAGGAAAATAACTGGAACCTAGTCTACTCGCTTGATTCTCTGCGACTTTCTCAAAGGTGGTGTACATAAACTACGAAACTTTGGATGTGGAAAGGGCATAAGGGATTGTTAAATGCCGATAGTGGTAATGATGACGAAGAAGGAAATTGATGATTTTTACATCGTCCGAAACTTATCTGAATCTGTTCTTTAGAGTGGCAGTTGACTTCGTACTCCTAAATCCAGTGGTGAAATCTATGAATCGGGATTGACAATAGAAAGACCGTAGGTTGCTCAAACGACGGTGACAGTCTCGCATGGATTACATTACATGCTGATATTGAACAACAACGAAATTTCATGTGGTAGGAACCGTAGTTTAGGGATTCTCTAAAGAAGCCCAGCGAGTCTAACGAACGATTGTATATTAACTTTAAGCGAGTTCTGAAAGTCGAAGCAGAAGTTAGAACCAAACGATGTCGAGTTAAAAGATTCGCGTTATCCCAAAGGGCATCATACTTCAATCAACATACCCAACTGATTTGCAGATCATATACTACAAAAAGAACCTCGTACCCAAAACCCCGGTGCCAAAACTACTCGTAGTGGCATCTCGTTGCCGTTCGACGGTCTAGACGTCTCTACATTACTAGAAGCAGACCCAGGAGGTGTTTCCGAAATATCGAGCCCAGGATACAGTTTAATAGGTTTCTCATGCTTATTTTCATCCTCCCGAACACTTTCCTTGGAATTATTATCTATCGGCTTTGTCAATTTTCGTATCTTTCTAGTCTTCATCATATTTCTACAACCAGAACAGGATAACAACGAGCATCTTATGTCTTTGAATCTCCCTCTATACATGCAGATGAATCTTGAGATATCTATTGTGCAAGCTATGAAGATGCCGAGAAGGATTTCAAGCAGACTGAAAGTTCGGGATCGTTAGTTACGCATAAATGTAATCTTCCGTGTCTAAGATCTACTCACCTAACAAGTGCAACACCTGAAAGATTCCATAATACATCATCATTATTGTCAATTCTCAATCGATAAATGATACTCAGAATTGATCCAATAGTAGCACTACTCAGTTATCAGTATGTTTTCCCCCTCATGGATAGATTTTGACCTACATGAATCCCGTAGCGAATATCAACCCCACGCCAATTTTCTTTCTCGGCGTTGGTTTTAACTTACTGACCGCAATCAACGGTATTATAATCAAGTATATATCAATTATGAACCCCACAATAGCCCGAGGTAAACTTAAAGTTTGCATGCGAAAGAAAGAATCAGACAATATTTGATGTCTCTATGGTCTACCATTACGCAGGTCTCCCCAGACCAATGCCAGATTGAGATTGATGGTGTAAAATACTCAAGATATGATGGCACCGATTGTACAAGCTATTTTGGCCCAGCTCTGGGTGAAGAATATTTCCATACAAGTGATGAAGAGAGTGAGTTTGACGAAACCCAGAGTTGTGGGGTTGATGATGAAGGTTAAACTTAATGGCTAGATTTGAGTGAGTATTGTATGAAGCATGATTTGGACTTTTGAACCCGGTAAAATTAGAATAGAAGAATTTATTAGACATGCAATTATGCTGTGGTTGGTAAATATTGCGGATAGGGGAACGTCACATTGGTGGTCACGGGTTGTTTCTCAAGGGGTAACGGCTATTTTGAAATTAGTTTTTTGTTAAGATCAAGTAGATGTAAATTTCTAATTAGATTTACTTAAAATTGTAGTGATATATGCAGCTATAGCCAAAAGCTACATAATCAGCACTCGAAAATCTAATCGAGAAACGCTACGTATAAAGCTTAGAGAAATGGTCACTGAGCTTCAATTAGTTTTCTATTTTCAACATCATAACAGAGAGCATAAATCTTACAATCATTCCCAACGTAATTTGACTGGACGAACAATCACAAGTTTTGCCCACGCCCGAATACATATACATATTGACCCTAGAGTCATCAGTAAGGTAGGAACCACATTGATGCTTTCTCGTCTGGATGCTCGGTGTTGGAAATTTGATACGGTTCCCGGTGGAGAGATTAAGCTTGGGATCTTCTCAAGGACAGATTTTGGTTGATCTGATATATAAATAGCGAGGGATTGTGCACCTGCACCTATTTGTCTTAATATTTGGCAATTGGCGCCGTGATTGTTGGATGCGAATCAAGTGGGAGTCTGAGGGTACTGCAGTGCAATTAAACAAAGCAATTTTACGGCAAAGGAATGTAGTCGGATCGTCTTGAATGAAGGTATTGGAAGCCTATATACGAGAAATCTAGATCACCCTAAGAAATATATAATATTCTAAGGAGAATCTTGTCAATTGTGTTTTGGTAATAGAGAAATCATAGAAACTAGCGACGCCAGCGGTAGTATTATTCAGCAGAGATAGCTTTGATGACAATGACTTCTGTTAAGCTAGTGAAAACTGCCTAGTGGTAAACACCAACAACAGCCATGTGAAAGGAAATGGAACCCCAACAATGCCCGGAGTTCTTTTATTCCTCTATCGATGCCATATAATAGGATTTTGAGGACTCTTCCGAATTTCTTTTCTTTATCTCTGTCATTTGTCCCGCACTAATTGGAAGTTTGATCAGCTAATCAGTTGAGTTCAAAGGTTAGGCACATGAACAAACCTTGATTGAGATTGAGTCCACGGATTTTTTCTCTCGGTAAGGGGAAGAAAGTGAAGGTGACAGCTCAAGAGGACCAGTCATCTTAATTCTGTCGTTGTGTAGAGTGTTTACTACTTCACGTGCATTTCTTCTCCTTGGAACGACATGATTCTCTTGTTTTCTGATCACCATAACTTCAACAAGAAACTGGTATGGATGGTGTGCGAGATATACTGAAATAGAAGGAAGTTGGTAATAAGCAACTACCACTCACACGAAGATTTACTTGTCTCGTAGACTTTTTGGTCGGATCTTACGAGCGGAACACAAATACTGAGTGTGCTCATCGGTATATAGAGGTTTCTCGAGCGAGGTCAATCTCATACACAAAGGAACCGGAAGGATAAAGATTGAACAATTCTCCAAACAAAGTTATTGAGCATCACGTAGTTGATAGAGCTTGTATTTGGTAGTCAGATCAACAGCTCAAAGAAAGAATAGGCACACATTTTCTTGTAGTCATAGTATCACATTCACATAGGAACATTTTTTGGGTGGGTAAAAACCTCTTAAATTTCCCTTTCACTCGAAAGGGTGTTGGGTATTTGATTCATTCATTCAACAAACAACAAAGGAAAGGTTTCACTTTATTGTACTTAGACCAACGATTACAAATAAAAGGAATACCTCTCACCTGTTGTTTCTCGACCAGCGAGTAAACAATCTTCTGAACCTATCCATGAACCATAACAACACTCTCACTCAACTCCAACCCTGGATTTCCCGTGAGAAACTTAAAGACGACCTCCCTACAATCTCCCTGTAACTGAATCACCTCACCCCAAGTCTCGTCCTCAATAATTTTGCCCGCGCACGCGAGGGCCTTCTTGAAGTGTTGAACGATCTTTTTCTTTTCGAACTTCTCGGGAATTCCTTGGATGGTGGTGACCCAATGTGGTTTTCTCTTTCCATCTTTCCCGATCTTAGCTCGGACTTGAGTTTGTTGAGCGCGAACGTGAATTTGCTTGACTTGTTTGAGGTCGACTTCTTCTGCTTCCGCGAAGGGGTCGAAGGATTGGGGTTCTTCGGTTTGGGGTGGTATCTCTAAGTATGGGGTCTCGGGAAGTTGTGTGATATGGTTCTGGATCTGTACCTTGTTCTTCCTGACCTTCGTGGTCTTGTTTCTAGTCTTGGTCCTAAAGACTTTGTCGTTGGAGACGCTAAGTTGTGACATGTTGTAGATTTTGTGGGGGAAGTTAGTGGATTGGCTGTGGTGTGTTATGATGAGTAGATGAATCTATGAATGATAAGAATATTACTTGAGAGTCGTCGGGGAGCTGGCTTTTATAGAATTGATGAGTAGTTATTCTGCAGAAGATTAGAATATCAACGCTATTGTACAGTCACATCTCCAAGATTGTTTTGTTTCTGTTGACAAGTTTCTTTGTCTCAAGTATGAAAATAAAGTTATTTGGGGGATTTCCACAGTATGTTCATGATAAATTGCTATAAGAAACTACTCTCACTTACCACCCACGCTATAGATTCGAAGGAACCCTCAATCTTTCTTTGCCGTATGTATAGAAGAGTACATCGATTTATCTAAAATCGGCTTGATTTAAACATTTGTGGAACCAGGTATTGTCAGAGGATAGAATGGGCTCACTTGAGGAGTTATAAAATCCTACATCTACAGACTTCATCAGCCGAAGCCAACTCAAAATCCGGGAATATCAGTACCTTTTGAAATCTGATGGATAACTTAGAGTCTACATTTCATACCTTCAATAGGATTCTAAGAACTATCACATCCTACAAAAAATTGTAATCTTGCAATAATTAAGAAACCTAAACCCAACAAATCATATTCGCTTCCTCTCGAATCCTTGGGATGGCTTGTGCTCTTGAAACAAATCTTTTTCCTGGAACTCATAAGGAAATTGGTTATGCTTGAGTAGATTCCCACACATCACCGGAGAATGAAGTAAGGTATGACACGTTGCGAAGTCATGAGTACCAACCCCGCCAAACAATTTTTGGAAATCCATCGGTAGAACAAAACTTGAATGTCACTCTTAGATCATACAAAATAGCTAGTATTAAATATAAACGTTTTCGTTCAATGAATATGCTTCCAATCCCAGTACTAACATTTTCCCCATACCCGTCACTCGGCTATTATAACCCCCTTATTTTCACTCCGTCGGCTATCTTGTTAGCTCTGCCCACCCCCACCGTATGTACACCGCTTTTGAGAATTTCCTAGTCTCCTTAGTAGTTCCAGTTTATCTTTAGCTCCCGAATGTTTCTAGTTCCGACTTGCAGTCCGGCTCCATGCTAATACTTAGTTAATTCAGGGACCAGAAGCCTACTCTCACCGCATTCGGATGCGTACCTGCCGCAAATCTCTTGATACACCCCATGACAGTTTCGAACGTCATTCCTTAAGTAATTTGATCTCTCATGGAGTCATGGTAATACTAGGTAGATAGTTAGTTGATTTCTTGAGTTCATTCTGGTACGGATCAAAGATGGTTTATAGATGTCTCATGCTGAAGGAATCAGGGACCTGGAGCTGAGATATGGGATATGTGAACAGTCCCATGATGATCTAAACAAATGGTAATCATTCATCCAGTGCCACTGATTGGGGAGGAGACCTACGAGCAATATTCCGGCTGTGCAATATACATGCCTCGGATATGAATACTTGAACACTCTGGTATTCGAATCGTAGAAGAGAGACCGAGAATGTGAATCTTAATTATCGAAAACCATGACGCAAGCGCGAACTGAAAAGGAATAATGGAAACATATATACCCGTTCTTCTAGTCATCCACACACACATCCATAACTTCCTAGATCAACCCCTTCATTAAATGACATTCACATCTTAGATTCCAAAAATCACCAAAGACTTATGTGATTTTATGCTATGCGAGCCGACCCTATACACTGCTACCTTTAGCTAAAAAAAAATAGTTCTACACCCTCCCTTTAAGATCTCAAATTTGTGGGTCAGCTACACTTACATGCTTTACTTTGCTGCTGAATCATTAGAACACCAGTGGCAGCGAGTATGATTTCAACTAACTCACTCCACTCAATTTTTCATTTCCATCTCCCCATTTACAGCAACCTCGAACTATAAAGAAAGCAGCGCAATCACAGAATCGGGAGAAGCAGCCAACACAGAAGGCCTGTAATTTCCAAGCTCTTCGTTTCACATGTATTGTAGCTTCCGCGTTAAAGCGAGATGAGCATGGGTTTTCAAGAGGAAGAAGGAAGAAATGGTATACTCATGATATCAATCACATTCAAATTAGCAAAATAGGAGAATAGACATGAATACTGCACCATAATAATGACTGACAATAATATCCCATGTCAACGCACATCATTCCACCTCTAATCTCATCATTATCCCCAGCATATAAACCATCGAAACCACCTTCTCCCCATCCCGCTCTGCTAATCACCTCACCCTGCCACTCAACTATCCACGATATAGATCTAATGGCTGTATATCTTTCTGCTCTTCGGAAATGCAGTTCAGCATACCTATCCACTGCACCAACCAAGGGGGAATCTTAACCCCCCCACCCCCACCCCTACTTCTGCTCTCACCACCAAACCTGCACTTGCAAGAACCAGTTTCACACTCTCTAGCTCACACAAACAGCGTGCTTATTATTGACTCCCAAATCGTTAGTCTCAAGTCTGCACAATACACATGTATAACCGGAGGACGATTTCGGAAACACCCCTACCTCTCCATCCCATCCTACCTCACCACAATTCATCAAAATGCATCATAGCACTTCATCACAATAACGAGAACAAGCACAGATAAAACCAATTTATTAATGAAACTAGCCTCCCCTAGCGCAGCGCAAATGCCGCCAACGCCCAGGCGCCAACCAGCCGCCACTATAACATAAACCAGATATGGCAAGTGGTCGAGCTTTCATTGGTATGCAACTACCATCCATCCATCCATCCATATCCATACCCATAGCACGCCACCCAATCATTATTTCGTATCTTCACCAATCCATCATCCCCCTCGCTTCTTCCCCTGAAGCATTCCAACCTAACCACAATAATCATCACAGCATTTTCACCAAGAAGAAGAATATACAAGCACCAAACCAAACTAGACCCAAGAGCCTACTACCCGTTCCCTCCACGCCAATCCTTTCATGATATAGAATTAACGGCCATACCCTCCCCCTCCCATTTTATCGATACTACTCAATAAATTGCTACTAGTTCTGCCCGAAAGTCCACTGCCTGGTCTACTTCCTTGACTAGCCACACTCCCATGACTTCCTTTTCTCTCTCTTCCTGCCGCACCACCAATTCCCATTCCCATTCCCATGCCAATTCCACCTCTGCCGATCCTACTTCCTCCAGCCGCACTTGGCGCTCTTAATCCACTTGGTCGAGTAACACTACTCGTTCTCGCCAAGGTAGGGCTCTTCATCTGACTTTCGAAGATATGTTGTTTCTTTTGCGAGGCGGGTGTTTCTGGTATTGGAGATGTTCGAACTGGAACAGGCTTCTTCTCCTCCTCAAGATTTTTCGCGACCATATCGTCAAACATTGCAATCATCGGGATCATTTCATCAACAGCTTGAACCAGCTTAGTTTTCTCGGCTCTTTCCTCTTCAAGCATGTGTCGGAGATCATTGTTGTCTTCCCTGACGCTCTTAATTTCCATACCCAGGCCCTCGAGTTCTGCCTCCAATTCCTTGGTTCTAGCATCGAGTGCTGCTTGTTGTTCGATATCGTCCGCCGAAAGTTCCGATCTAGTTGTCGTGGTATTGCCGCCCAACTTCAATTCTTCGTTTTCCTTGGTGAGATCCTCAACAGTAGCTTCCAATTCTTTAACTTTCTTATCCCAACGACGTTCATAACTTTTCTTGAGAGCTTGGACTTTAGTTTCGTGCTTCTCTTTGTAAAGGGAATGCAACTCTCTGGATACCTTCTCGACCGCAAGTTCGACAGTTCGACCTCCGCATTGGCATTCTGTTGGCGATTTCAAAGACGTTTCCATAGGGGGTGAAGTAGCTCCAGGTGTAGCTTTTCCAGCACGCATCGCCGCCAAATTCCTCTGTGCCTCTTGAGCCATAATCTCAGCCATTTCTCTTCTTCTCTCACTTTCCTCCAATCGACCATCCAACTCCTCACGTTCTTGCTCTGTTTGAACCATTTCTTCTCTGACGTTCCTCAACACAGCTTCCATTTCCCGACCCCTCTTCTCCCACTCCTCCTTCTCGGCCGCCAGTTGATCTTGTAAATTTCGTTCTTCTCGTAATTGTTCCTGACTCTCCCCAACTCTCTTTTCCGCGTCTCCAACGGCCGTTTTCATGAATTGCAATTCAGCTTCCTTTCCGCTCAACGTAGCTTTCAAGTTACTAATCTCCGATAAGAAGTCTGATTTCAATCTCTCGATTTCTCTAGGTGTAATAGAAGGTAAACTTCTAGGTGTAGGTGCAGGAGGAATATCGAAATCGAGTAAGTTGCTCATTCGGTTTGATTTAGGTGTTGCGGCGGTGCTTGGCCCATACCAATGTTCAGGTGCAGAAGTTTTCGAAGGTGACATTGACATCCTACTCCTTGAAGGTGAGGGACCGCGACCGTTGAATCCATTCATTTGTGCGGTAAAGTCAAGAAGGTTAGTGGTATTCTCATCATCTCTACTCTTGACATTTCTATGCCCGTATGGTGCTGGTGAAAATTCCTCAGATGTATTCACTTGCCTGCGCGCCGTAGCCGGGGTACTGAATCGATGATTTTGTCTTGGTGTCGGTGCACCCATTGATGGGAAGTTCGGGCTGGTATGTCCCAATTTCGAAAACGTTGTTAGATCTGGCATAGCGGAAAATTCGCTGAATGTGCTGACCATTGTATCGTCCATCAAATTGTGCGCATCTTTCTCTGAAGCACTAGTAGCGCTGCCGGTACCTATATATGCAAAAGTTTCGTTTATCGTTTGCCCCTCTTCGTTATCATTATCATCATCGTCTTCTTCCAATATCTCGATTGCTTTCGTAAGTCCTTCATTATCCCTTAGTACTGGGTCATCTAGGTCCATTTCATGCTCAACAACGACCGGCGGGTCAGGCGATTTCAAAGGTGAAGGTGTGGCAGTCGTGGGCTTCACAGGGAATCTCATGGGCGTCGACATCTTTCTCGGACTGCGTGTGCCATCTGATGATTTGGTGGGTGAGGTCTGGCTCTTCAATAGCTTCAGGGGTGACATATGGTCTCCATCAGTTGAGTTCCTCGACACCAGCATTTGTTTCTTAATAGGAGAGATATTCTCCTTACTTGGATCTGTCGCATCGTGTGTCGCATCGACGAAGGGCGAACTTGGTGGACTCCCCACGCTCCCACTCATGGGGGTGTTTTCTGTAAAGCTGGTATCTTCAGACATGGTGTAGTTTGTAATGCTAACAACTGATGGGCTTCCAGTATTGATATTTGCGCTGGATAAATCCGAAAGGGGCTCCGCCATCTGCTAACTCTCTTTGTTCGTGATTATGATAGTGTATCTTTTGAATCAGTGATCATGTAATGTTTGAGATATCGTGCGGTGGTGGATAAACCTTTTCGTATGATGTGTTGTGAATGGTGGATTTTTCTGTTTACGGGGCAACGTGCATCGGTAAACGATTCGCCGTTCCGATATTTGGGACAATTGAATCTACCATTTCTACTTTCAGAATGGACAATCCAAATTGTCAATAACTTCAAACCTTATATGTTGTCGGAACTCATCTATTAAGTGATGCAATAGGTGAACGATAGTGTTCTGGATACATTTTAGATATATCAATTTTGGTCACAAATAACTGATACTAAGCCATAGATTCAAGGAACTATCGTCACCGCCTCCGTTCTCGACATTCGAGTGTTTCTCACTCAATGAGAGAGACACTGTTAGATTCGAAAAGACTCAGATACTTCACATCAAAGAAACTGGATGCTTGTATGAGGGGTGATGGGCCAAATGTCATTGTTAAGTATGTTCTTGCCGTTCTTTGAAGGTACATCACTTAAACATGCATGACAAGACAGCATGATGAAGGTGAATGTGATTGATGTTTCTTAGTTACTGTTATAGTTACTGTTATATCAAATTATGTCATGGGACAGCCTTTTCCACAATCTCACCAAAACGCCTCTAGACCTCCCAAATGATATTTCCTATTCCTATCCCTATCGCAGATGCTATGCAGCCACCTAGAATGCACCTCAATTCCTGACACAACGCCGTAGAAGCAAGCAGACACCCGAATATGGCATCTATGCTATATATATAAAGATACATCATACATACTATATGCATGGACCTCAATGACATACCTCCCAAGACTCGAAAACTAGACTTGAGCCAAAAAAGTTTGGGAAGCATGAACAATTCGCTTGCCCACTCGGTGTCCTTAGCGTCAATTGTTAATCTACGTTGGCATTGGCTGTATTTTTGAACATGCCATAAACGCTCCGCTGGCCTTTCGGAGCTACCTTCAGATTCGAGAACCGCGTCTCGGAAAGTCTCTTTCCTGCCTTGATGCTCTCTAATACCCTGTATTTGCCAGAAATATTAGTATGAATATGCAAACAGGGGATACTGGAAGGCCCATACCATTCTACACCGACATATTTCACTCCACAACCACCAATCCTTCGTATCTCTTTCTCCAGCTTTCCCCCAGCCAAACCACCTCCAGCTCCACTTCCTACACCAGAAGGTTTGCCCAAGATAACGTGGGTGACTTGTCGCCTGCCCAGATGCATCGACATTCGTGCTCCATTCTCTGCCAGCAACTGCTTGAGCTTGTGGTCCGAGACCATTGGATATGTACTACCGTTTATGTAGATGTCCAGCTCATCAAAGATGCCTCTAGACTTACGGGCTAGATCACCCTCTTCCGCTTTAGTTTCATCTTCGAGCTTCCGCATCTCCATCAGTCGTTCTTCGGCGCTCATCGGCACTAAATGGGAAAGACAAGCATCAATAAAGTATATATGATAGCATTGGACAGGGAATTTGAAAGGGACAACAAAACATACAGCCTGGTTTCCCCACTAACATGTCGCTGACACTTCGTCTTGCCCTTGCCTTGACTTCTTTCGGAATCAAGGCGTTCGCTTTCTTATCCCAGTCTTCAGATCCTGCCCCAACTTTGTCGGAGATCCTTTTGCCACCTGTACCACCAGACTTGAACTGGTGGCCTAGCTTCGATGCTCGAGATTCTCTCCATCCTGTAGAACCACCTATCTTATTCTCTGCCCGTTGATGACCTGTCGCTGATGAATTCCACGCATCAAAATGGGCACCAAATACTGGTTTTGCCGCCGGAGGTATTTGCGGTTTTGGGGGTGCCATGCTTGTTTTCTCGTAAAAGGTTGTAGATCAGGCTATCCTTTGAGCCTATACTTGCTTGGGTGTATCCTTCCTGTAAAGTTTGCGAGTCGTAGAGATTCAAGGATCATGATAATCTATTCAAACAAAGAAAAATCACACTATAGTTGTTGCCGTATCGAATATCTGAGCCCATACGGTTAGTCGGTAACTTTTCAAAATCGCGACGATTCAACTGTACAGTTCATGCAATCCACGTATTCATTCGTCGTTGATTTTGACTTCCAAAAACGAGATGTAAAAGAAAACATTGACAAGCGCGAATGCGTTGATACAGTTACAGAAGGCGCGCCCAAAACGCCTGATCACGTGGATCACCTCATTGGTACAACTGGCTAGATTTGATTTCTAGAATCCAGAAATCGATTAGCCCCCAATCCAATCTCAAGACAACAACCTCTCTTTCCCGAAACCAGTTCATCACTTCAAAAGCCATGTACACTGTCTGTTTCACCAAATTCACCAAGAAAATCTTATTTTCCGATATCTCCATTCAAGAACTGCAGTAACTTCGAAGTTTCGAACGGATACGGGATGATTGATGGGTGATCACATCATGTTTTGAAAAATGAATGAAAAATTATTAGATGATGTGTATGGTGTTCATTCAAAATTCAAGGTTGAGCGAGAATCAGTCATACCCTAGGAAGAAACATCCCCGATCATGCATTTCAATCCGATGATTCCTTCAAATTTCAATGTCATCCGATACCTCTAGATTCTCCCCCTTTTCATCTCGAAATCTTTGGTCGAGCAAGGCGAAAGAGCTTCCGAATATCCCTTTGAATGAATTTTCAATACGTTACGAGATTGAATACAAACTTAACATCTCTTTCATTTGATCTTCACTTTGCCACTCACTTCCTTTGCCCTTCCAAATCTTTTCATTAAAAACATATCTTGGTTACATGAAGGAGGCACTGGGATAAGGAGGGCATAGCATAGGATATGCAAGCAGCAAGTACCCGTTCGCCTCGCCTCGCCTCGCAGAACAGCAGCCGGCTTGATGCACGATCGTTACAGTATAGTGCCTACTGTACTCTCCATGTAATTTGAAAGCTGCAACTATGTCGTGCGTCTTTTTATTCATTCCTCAGATGGATGGCTGGTGCGTCCTTCAGAAGAAGCCGAAATACGAAAAGTATCCAATTGTGCATTTCCCAGTTCTGCAAGTTCCTATTTCCATTCAAGGCAATCAAGTGAGTGGCGTGCGTAGTTGCTTCCTCACATGCCTTTTCTATCCTGCGTGCCGCGCCTGCTCTTTATTTACATAAATGTTTTGTACTTCCATCTTTGAATTTAACAGCCGTTTTCCGGTCATTAGCAAACATCACCTCTATCAACAACACCCTGTTAACTCTTTTTCTACCGGTTGATAGTGTAATGATAGTCTGGATGAGCCGCTATTGGGGTTATACAAAACACCCAGATCATTTAAAAAATTATGCGCGAGCAATATACATCGATCCTAGAATTGCATCTTTTGGGACACGAGGGTTGTACCAAATTGGGGGTTGAGTCCGAGAGGTCAAAAATGTGCACATCTTTCCAACCATGTGAGGGTCACGAGAACATGTACGGATTGACATGGCGAGTCTGGACTGATGTATGTATGTAGGTATGTATGTATGTATGGCGCGGGTTGGTTTGAGGTTTTAGGGTCATGACATGACATGAGAACGGATACTCCCGTTTTCGCGGACATATATTTTTCTTTCACCACTGTAAGATGCAAGTACCACTCCCCTCAACGTCCTTCCCATGTGAAGTTCTTGGTACTTACATATGGAGTATCTCCGAATGGTTTTGTTGGGGTTAGAAGGGTATTACCCTGCGAGGGTAAGCACGTACTGGGTCTTGAGGAATTACAATATATTGATACCATATTAAGGCTATATTAGATTTTTGATTGTTTTGATCGACTGTGTCAGCAGCGTTTGTGTTACTTTTTTCATTTGCAACTGATCCTCGGGTTCAATATGTGTACTTTCATAACTTTTGGTACAGAATTTCTGGGTCTCTTTCTTTCTTTGTTTTACCTCAGCCCTTGTCTATAACCCCATGGGAATTTAGTTTCATGGGTATCTAGAAGCTGACATTCACGTACAATCAAGCATGGTGTTTCGTTGTCCAAACCGTCCTTTCCAATTCCCGTAAGATTTCGCTGTCTTATTTTACCGTACGTGGGTACTAGAACTATCTCTGGTTGTTGGACTAAAGTAGTGAGATAAGAAAATCGCTCTTCCAAGTTTCCAAGTCACCATCTATTTCATAATCATGACAAAAAATCGACCTAGTCGTATTCCAAATTCAAAGCCATCAATTGGATGCCCCAGAGAATCCATCAGTCATTGATAACGATAGCACAATGAAAAAAAAAGTCGTTTTTCCAAGGTTCGTTGTCGCTAGAGCGAGAACCCCTCATTCGCCCTCTCTAGGTTCTCAACCACAAAAAGGCGGTGTAGAAGACGCTAAGAGACGTCATCCACCTCATTCTGATCGCCAACACAAGAGAAAAAGAAAAGAAAATTCAAACGGTTCTCCGTCCCCCGCTAACGTTAGCACTCTTTTGCTTCTGAAAAGAAAAGAATAAATTAATCCATTCTCTTCATGGTTTTACCACTAGACCCAGATCAATAATAACTTGCGATAGTATAGTTCGTTGAATGACTAGATGTTGGATGGGGATTCTTATCATACTAAAGCTATTAATGATTTTTTATTCGGCACTCAATCATGAACCATACACAATGAGGAATTCCCCCTCAGGGATGATTACTGGCGTCTAGGGTTCAAGCTTTGTCCTATGATTCCCATTCTCGCCAAGAATTTATACGCTCAGCGCGGTGCAGCAGCGTAGTGTAGTGCGTAGTCCCATCATCAAGCTAGGTTGTTGATCTATACCGCATCGACATTATAGTTTCGGCGGGCAAATGTCAATATCGTACGTATGTATATCCTCCATACTCCGTCGTGATAGTCTAAGCTTTTTGCACGATCCAGTACCTACTCCGTATGCATGCACAACAACTGTACCGTACGTATACTGTCAACTTGCATGTCCAGAATCCAGATCCCAACATTGCAAATCTCGAACCTCAATTAGACTCACGAAATGCTCAAATCAAGTGGCTTCCCCTCTTTTCGAGACTCAACTTCCATTACTCATTTCGTCCCACCCCCCACCTTACGCTCCCAGATCATTCTTTTCTCATCATCATATGAATATGAACCACATCCCAAAACCCCCTCAACGAGTGTCGATCACAAAAATTAGAACAAACCTTTCCTCCCCTCGAGACTCGCGGATAGGCTCTCAGACGACGGAGTATGAAAAAACCTCGCTCTCGTCCTCGCTTTGAACAACGTTACCCCAATCACCATCCACCACGTCGTAGACCGAGCCTTTTTCGCTCTTCTCGCCCTCCATCCATGATCATCCCTAGTCTCTTCTTATTTCCTCCATCCAGACAAAAAACAAAAAGCCTCCCCCAAACCACAATATATTCCACCCCAGTCCCAAAGAAGCAGTACTTCCTACTCGGTGACACGCTTTGGGAAAGCCTCGCTTCGGGATTTTCACCATGGGGCTTGCGCTAGCGCATCTTTGGGCTTGCTGCTTCTCGATGTTGTGCGTTTCTCGTTACATACACAGACCATAATCGTGTAGGAGGTATTGATTGGAGACAAGCAGGCCAAGAACGACACAGGACAGGGATGCTGGAAATGGTGTAAGACGGACCGTTTTCCGCGTGTGCAGAAAAGTGATAAAGGGGACTAGCCTTATGGAGTGTGGTTATTGGAGGAGGATAAGGTAGGTAGGTACGTATGTATGTACTATGAATAAGAATTTTTTCATTTTGCGTGATGGGTTAAAGGTTAAGGGAGATTGTTCCTTGTTTGTTGGGCTTTCGTATTCATGAGAGAAGATTGGAAATGGTTCGAAGTGGTGAACTGATTGAATCACGAAGAAAGATTCACAAACAGAAACCATACCAGATAATGCTCGATGACGCCCGTCGCGATAAGCATCCAGCAAGCAGTGTTAAGTTTCCCCTCCTTCCTCCGTTCATCTCATCCAACAAGGATAGCCATACTAGCACACTGCGCACCAAAACTCTGCAGGGTCTGATGCCGAAATTTTCTGGTGGCCCTTGCCTTCATAACACTTGCATCCTGCATGCGCAGCGGCTGCTCACAGGCTGCTGCACGGAGACTGGGGGAAAGAAAAAAGGTAAAACGGGACCAATTGGATGCGGAGCAAGGTGGCTGGGATCGTGTTCGCGAGAGGCGGTGAAAAAAAGTTCATGGGTATACGTGGGTCACGTATTGCCAATGGATTTTGGATAGTCTATACAAAGAATTGAAAGTGTAAGACAACGTGACTCGTGAGCTTTACACTGATACCAGTATGGATCGGAATCCAGAATCCAGAATCCTGAAAGTCATCTCTCGGATTCATATCGGTTTGGTGCCGTTGAGTTTTCACATGCGGTCCGAATAATGCATCCCAATTGAGTAAATTTTGAAGGTGCAATTTGAATCTCTCTCCCTCTTCTCGTACCCCTTTCCTTCCTCCCCATCTGCATACAATTTCTAGTTCATTGTACGACATAGAATCATACCATAGCATGGCATACAATACCTGTCTCGGAGAGCCGCATTATTCCATTAACCAGCAGACATAACCAACTGTTGTAGAACTGCTCTTACAGAAATGAAATAGATCTCCATCATCTTGCCTCCGCAAATCGGCGGGTTCATGGATTTGCGATGTGTACATACATACCGGTACATACATACAGAGTACATGAAGATAAATCTTTGGAGATAAATAGATCGACATGATTTTACGCAATAATTGCCCCAAAAAGATCAAGCTGTCAGTAATTGATCAAACCTTAAGAATCAAGATCTAGATATTTGATACGCATGTATGCGTGATGACGCAAGTGAGCTGGGAAGTTTCGTTTGGTCTCGTCTCAAGGAGTTGAAAGCACATGATAATGCTCCATAAACGTTGATGAATGAATGAAACCCATTGTGAGTAAAAAAAAAATCATGACTTCAGATACAAAAAGTTCTAGTAGCGGTATCATATGCTGTGTACTATTTTCCGCACCGTTCCTTGCGTCGGGGTCGCGGAAGGGCTGGCTGACCGGCCACCCAACTTCGAAATCTCACTATTTGCTTCTCACCGTGTGGGAATGTGATACAAAATTGAATTCATATCTTTCCGATGACTCTTTTCAATTCGAGGCGGATTGACAATATGAAAATGTTGGCTGAGAGGAACCATGGCTAACTTCGAGACTGGCAAGGTGCTCGTTCCACCAGTCTCCTTCGTCCACGATGGTATTATCGAGACGAAGTGTGACGAGGTTCCTGGGTCACGACTCACAAGCTCGAAAACCCTAGATGTCATCTTGAGCTTTGAGACAACATCCCCACCCTTTGAATATTCATCCAACAGTATATGTCCTTGGGGCTTCAATTCGAATCAGCTCGTGTGTTGCCGATTCGTTCCCGATATTACAATGATAACATTTTCATCATGATGTCTGTTGTCTGGAGATGGAATGCATTCAATGTTGGATAGACAATTAATACGAAAGGGATCTAGAATCTCACCTGCAACCCTGACTCGCGCATGTCGGTACATGGATTGTTTGGTTGCAACTTGTAAGCAAACAAAATGCAATCTGGAGGAAGTAAGCCGTGTCAGAGGTTCCATTGCCAATGCGAATCAATGTAGGTATGTATGTATGATTTTGTTTGAAGCATGGAGCTTTACCATCTCCCATCTTTCGGATTATCTGTTGAGGAAAGAGTCTTTCCATGCATACACCACTGGCATGGCAGCTTGAGCCTCTTCAATTGCTAGATTCATTGTGACCAAGCGTGACTTCTCACGGGAGAAGCATAGAAGAAGGGAGTTCCCTTTCACATCGGAAGGAACCCTGCGTTGAACACGCTCGCTCTGAAAGCCTGTCATTGTAGCACATGTATACTAGTAAGGATGGAACGGGGCAGCATCTTTATAATCGCAAAAGACCACTCGTTTTCGAATGACACCGATGACCGTTTAATTCGGCCATTGTTCCGGCTTCAGTTGTAATTCACCAACCTTGCTGTTGACCTTGAAACCTTGCTCTTGAGTCTTGGAAGATGACAAGACCATGGACATCGAATTGCCCATTTCGGTGCACGCTGTGTGACATGACTAATGGGGAAACCGGATGACATCCCCATCCTTGCAGAGACCGGTTAATGAATAGGTAATATCGCCGTCAATTTACTGTAGCCTGTCGGCATCGTTGAAGAACAGATAGAGTATGATCATACTATTATGAAATTAGTAAATGATCCGAACGACTACATTACTCGGTACTGATGAAGGGTTACAACCCGGTTTACAGACTTCACAGATAGAGTAACTTACGGCTGTTTCTTAAGATCCTTGGCTTCGAGACCTTCTTGACAACAGTATTTGATATGTCTAATTCGGGATAGAGAAAGAAACTGGTGGTGGTAAAGTGGCGGGGAAAAGAGCCGAAGGCGTGATATGTGGATGTTGCAAAAGTGGCAGGAGGAAAGTTACAATTGATGCTGCTTTATTAAACCTCAGCATACTTGTCATGAGATACTTTACTGGCTTGATAGAACGGCTCCCTTCATCTAGGCTTCCTTAATGCCTCAATGGATCCCTTTGGACAATCTTCTATCACGGAGAGACTTAATCTGTGGTTGGATACGATACTGAGAATCAATCGATATCACTCTCCAAGTGTGAGACCAGGTAGGTATCAACCACCCCAATAATCAATAATTAATTACCTTACCACCTTGTTATCACATCAGGGATACAACTTGTCTTTTCTCCTCTTCATCTATTGACAATCGAAACGCCCCACCGTCTACCTGGTTGAGACCCTTGAGAACCCTCGAGGATATACTATCATGTTTAAGTCGCTTTGAAAGAAGGATGCTACTTTGCACGCGCCGCAATCGTTGGTAAAATCTCGTCCGGAAGCCGAGGCTGATATCAAAATTCTCTCGTACTTCCTTTTCCACCAAGTTTTTGGTCTCCCTTCTAGTAAAGGAAATTACCTAGGTAGGGGATAAATATATCGAATTCCCGTGGCGTATCACACACACTAGATGTTGTTCTAGCGAAGGCTCAGTCAACGCTAGCTATTTTAGCGATCCTAAGCAAATGCAAGACTCGCTCCGATCAGTCCGTGAAATGTCGGACATTCTCGTTAGGGATGATCAATCATGAAAGGTTAGGTAGGTAATGAACGCACATGTAACCGATAACCGCATCGCATCATCTACATTATCTACGAGATTTGCATACGGAAGACGGAATATTGTCAGCGGAGTATATCACCGAGTAGTTTACAAAGTATCAAAGGACTCAATAGGAATGATAATATTCAGATACTGTATGATCAAGGACCTGTGGGAGAATAGGATATGATGAAAAAGCTGGAAAAAGTCCGAGAACCAGTGCATCACCAAAGGAGAAAGCAGTGCTCACGAGGCGTTCGAAGCTAGATATGCGATCGGCGCTGGTGGCAGATCTGGCAAATGTCGTGATGAGGAACGGAAGATTCTCAAATTTTATGCACAGAAGACGGCGGTTGGAAACTGGTTCAGCGGCTCGTGTATCTAATCGGTAGATACGGAAGTAAAGAAGTTAGAGTTTCTAGATGATAATATATGAATGCTTGGTGTCATCAAATACCTACTAATACTAAAAAGGTCACGGGGCTACGTTACATAATTTCACTGTTGTTCCCTGGGTAGTATTTGTCAATGCCATGCCATGCCATGCTATGCCGGCAATACCATTGATCTCCCATCTGTGCATGTGTGTCACTGTGTGGTGGTGGTCCTCGATGGGGTGTTGTTGTGCACTGGTGACTGGTGTTGCCTTCACATCCACGAGATATTTATGATCCAAGCTATTCTGCCTTCAAGGATAGACCGTAGTAAAAAGGGGGACGGGATCAAAGAAAAACGATATGCAAAAGCAGGAGATCCCGTCTTGCAGGCGGAACAAGCTTGTAAAGTGCATCGCAGTAACCCACCGAACCCTTTCCCTTCCCTCACAGCGATCAAGCTTGAAAGAATCAAGCCCGGCCACCGCACAGGACACACGTCGGACAATTGGATGAGCATGAAGCATGAGCCATTTTTGAAGTATAAGCATGATGAGCATGAGCACCAGCATGAGCATCAGCATAAAATTTCCGATAGGAATCTTTCATCACTTTGCTTACTCCGTACATCTCGCTGCCGGAAATGTGCAGAACGCAGAATCTGTGCAGAATTGGGGCACGGTGCTTTCATTCTGGATGGAAAAGTCTGGAGTGCATTTCGGCCCCTCCTATAATGGAATAGTTGCCCGGGCTCACTCAGCCCAATTTTAACTTTTCTTGCGCGGCAGCAAGGTGTGGGTAGTAGGTTCTAGGTATTTACAATGAATGTAGTGTGTGGTGTATGATGTGGTTGGATGCTGAGGGCTGAGGGCTGAGGGCTGGGGGTTGGGGGTTGTTTGAGAAAGGGCAATGTACAATACATAAACAGCATGTCTTCATTTAGCTACGGAAGGAGACGTCTACGCCGCCGCCGCCGCCAGGAGGGAAAACGTCGCAGCAGGTAATGCGATGCAGGCTTGATCGGTAAAGCAAAGGTTCAAATGCAAAGAAGAATGCTTGGAGTGCTTGGATGGCTGTTGAAGAAAGTTAATTCCCTGGTAAAACTTGAATCCGGGATGGTATGTAAGATCCATTCGTCAACCAAGATCATCCATCACAATCCGGATGTAGGAATAGACAGAAGAGAAAGAACGGGCTCGCCACTTTGTCGGCCATCCATGTACCGGTATTAATGATCAATCTGATCTGATTTGATTTGATTTGATGTGATGTGATATGTTATGATTTGATTTGATTTGATTTGATTCAATTATGAACCATCAAGAAAAAAGATGCCCCGCCAGTAAATACTCGCATCAGATCATCATTACCTTCATCATCACATCACCATCTGCTGTTCCGTCTTTTCTTGGGGTTGAAGCGGCTTATCATTGTCCTGGCCACTTTTTTTTTTCATCTTTTTTTTTCGGTTTGAAAGGTCTCTGTCTAGGATTGTGAAGAAGAGATCAGCTACTAAAGAAAGCGAAGATCCGAAGGTATTTAAAGTACGCTATATGCTTAAAGCAGCCTTCTCTTTACTTTACATCCGAATTCGAACCTCTCTTTTATGCAATTCATTACTGTGTCATGTAGGTAGGTATGTATCGAAGGTATGTATCGATATTTCATATTCTGATCTGATTCCCTTTGGCCCTTGGGGATTTGGAAGAATAGAGAGCAGCTCACGTTTACGTTTACGTTTACGTTCACGTTCACATTCACATTCACATTCACATCCATCAGGAGAATAAACTTGAACGCCATCACTACCCCTTCATCGGTGTAAAGGTAAAACAATAACAATAACAATAACAATATCAACGACAACACCACACCACACCACCACATCATCTTCTCAACAAAACCATCCGAAGGGGAAAGTAAAAATAACTCTTCCGCTTCCTCTTCCTCTTCCTCTCCCTCGTCCTCGTCCTCGTCCTCCCTCACATTCACATTCACTTCATCTCATCCAGTGAATTGATCACCATTGATACTTTGGGAACCGGAACGGCTGCTATCAATATCATCCAATCATTGCCGGGCCGTCAGCGATCATATATTAAAAACCCTCGTTTCAATTCATAATTACTTCGTACTTGTTTTTTCCTCTTTTTTTTTCTTTCTCTCAATTGAGTCAATCGACAACCAGCCAGCCAGCCTTTCTCGAATCCTTGTATTTATTAGTATCCATTGTTTTCAAGCGGCCAGAACTCAAGGGCCACGGTCACGGCCACTCTGCGACGCTGCCACTTTTGATGGATGGATTGGCCCCATACTGCCACCTCGCAGTTTTTTTTGTCCGTTCATGGTTTTTATCATTTTCTCTCGTCAAGTCCGTGATGGATTTAGTCCTCGATAGGTAAAAGGTACCATGTACTCCGTACGTAGAGCAGACAAAGGTAGGGATTAAGAGGTATCACGTTCACATTTTCGAGATACCTACCCCACGATACAAGTAGAATACAACCAACGCAGCAAAATAGAGTGAAAAGTACAACAACACCAAGCACTACGAGTAACCATGATTAATGTACCTAGGGATTGAAGAAAGGGGATGATTGTACTAGATTGGTATTTTTGGGTGACATGCATGCAGGTTTTGAACATGAAAATAGGAATTCGTATTGTAAAATGTTTTGCATTCATACTTTCACAATCCCTTAGCTATTCTTCTTCGTTCTTCGAAGGAGGTTGAAGATGGTATTGGACCTAGACAGTATAATTGAATCATTTGCTGGCTTGTCACTCACTCAGTCAACTCCTCACACACCTGTTACTTCTCTCGCTCTCGTTTCGATCCTCCCTCTTCCTCTTCTTCTAATTCGGTCGGACCAACCCTCGCACCCTTCGTCTACTTCGTAGAGTGACAATCATTGTGCTGTCCAACCACCCCAGTTTTTGTACAAGGTTTAAGCATTGGCGCGATTTACTAGGGGATGGATGGATGCGAGAGAAAGAAGAAAAAGCTTTTGATGTTTTGGAGGAGCGACGCAGCCCGTCAGATAGATCGACTAGTGCGACTAGGGAGACAACTACTACCCAACTAAGAAACTCTAATTAATGTGCACGCTAATTTAGCGACCTGGCAGAAAACGAGAAGTATTTTTTTTATTTTTTTTATCTACATTTTATTATAAATGTTTTACAAGGAAGACGGGCAAGGTAAGGTTGTATCGTAGTTATCGCCTCTTGGATCCTCGAGTGAAGCTTGACTAGGATATGGCAAAGAAGGAGCCCAGAGTCGTGAAGTGAAGTGAAGAGAAGGGAAAGAAATGGAAAGAAAAATGATATCTCTTATGCAAAGGTTAAACTAAAAGTGGAAACTTCAGGTTATATTGATGATTTGGACGCGCAGTATGATGGAGCAGTGAGAATTTTAGAATGCGAATGCGAATGGGAATGGGAATGGGAATTGGATGAGAGTCCCAACTGTCCTTCATTCCTGTAGACTGGAACAAACCACTGGGATCATACCATATCATGTCATGTCATATCATACATATCATTCGTTCATCAACGATTTCAAATAAAGATCATATACACACACAAGCGTCTTTGAATTCGACATATTGGACTGCAATCTCAAGCTTCACTTCATTATCTATCTCATCAACCAAAATTAAACTTCACTCTAGCTGATTAGGTGCTTCCGACGTCCGTATAGAAACGTCCTATTTTAGCGCAAGATATTTGGGCTCGGTGGTGTTCACATACATATTCACACGTCCACCACCCCTTAGCTTCATTCCGGGATCGCTACGGCCTCAAACATCCACTTTCGAAAGTACCCAGTCCCGATTCAGAGTGTACACCCAAGGGCAGAACATACTGAACGTCCTGAGACTTTAGAAGAGAGAGAGAGAGAGAGAAAGAGGGAGAAAAGGCTGGAGAGATAGAGGGAGAGAAAAACATTATTGTATCAACCCATTGAATTGAGAAGAGGGAGAGCACGAGAGGGAGAAAACATCTAAGAAAGGGAAACCTCAGAACCCCCCGAAAAGAGAGAGAGAAGAATCAACAACTCCAAACTTCAACTCCACCCTTCACTCCACCAATCCAGAGAAGAGAAACAGGCTGAAGACTTTCTCCACTATCATTATCATTGTCAGGTCCACCAAGAAATCGAACACTTTATTACTCCGTTTTGTACGCCTTGTTTCTTTTCATAACCCTTCATATCCATTCCACCCGCACGCTTCCACTCTTCCTTACTGTACTACACACCAAAACATTACCTCTCCTACAAGGGCCAGCTAGACAAGGCACAGAAGGGAAAATAGAAGAAGAGAGAGAGACATAGGCACACGCAGAACAAGAGAACAAGAAGAACATTGTTCTTGTCTCTACTCTTGTATTGACTATCTATCGACATCAGCCATCATCTATTTACATTATCCTCCTCCTCCTCATTTTCTTTTATCATTTATTTATTATCTATTTATCTATTTATCTATCTATCTACCTATCTACCTATCTACCTCTTTTCCTCGCATCTACCTCCCCCCTCACCATCAACGACTAATTAGATAAACTATTTCTCCATCTTTGATCCATCTTTGATGGTTTTATCTAAATTTGATTACTCGTCCCATTTTTATTATTATTATTATTCTTTTCTTTTATTCTTTTATTTATTCACGAGCTAGCTTCCCTCTCCGTCTAGCTTCACTTATTACTTCATTCTACTTATTACACTTACACTTAAATTTAACTACTCTCCTCTATTTCTCCTCTACTCCACTCTACTCACCCACTTCGATTACTACCTTACTACCTAACTACCTCAAAACACTCAACCCATACCTTGACCACTTTGACACACCTTACCTCATCCATTCAATCTATTTTTCTACGGCTACGGCTAGAGCTACTCTCACCAATCCATGCACTCTCGTTAAGACTATCCTGTTCAACCAATACCCTTCAACTTTCCACAAACCCACCTCCACCACTCACTCTCACACATCACCACCGCCCAACCTCCTCCCTCGTTTCTATTCTTCTCTCCCTCCGCGCCTTTTTTTTTAAACTCTCCAATCCACTCTCTCATCCTCCCTTTTCCGATCTCCCCCATTTCTTATACCTCAAAGAGGTGCATGGAAAACGAAAAGAAAAAAAAAGGAAAATCCTAGAAAAGTTCAAACAAAAGGTATGTACCTCATTGTTCCAATGCTCAATCTTCAACCTTCAATGTCCAGCGCTTCCCGCTTCTCTCCATCCACCTCGTCCCTCCCCCTCCCCCATTCACCCATCGTGTAGATTTGCGCATCGTTTCTCATAGCAATTGCTGCAGCGCTGACTGGTGTACCTGCATTAGAGTTGGCGAATATCCTCAATTCTTTTGACCGACATACAACCTATCCACCAGTACACATCACGCCTCTTGCAAAGTAAACTCCACTGCAGTTTGGATCTCCTCTATTCCACGAAATACTCTACGAGCTTCACGTTTTTTTTTTAACGTTCCCATCCTCGAATCTAAGCACGGATCAGATTCCTTCCAGAGAAGCGACAAGCACAAGCATACATACCTGCAGGTTCGCGTAACTGCCAACGATCCTGTCGTGGAGCTTCAATCGCACCTCAATTGGATTAACAAAGCTTCAAGTCCATTTGTAACGACTTCCACGAGCCAAACGTCTTCTTTTTCGAGTCTTTTTTTGAGGTTTTACAAGATCGTTCTGCTTCTGCATCTTTGGCATATGCATCTTATTTCACGAAAAATAAACGACCCATTACGTTCGCGTTCGTTGTAAAAGCAGTGACTGTTTTGATTTTTCATATCGACGATAGTCAATATACCCAAGCATCATTCTCCATTCTTGGTTCAGCAACTTTTATCTTTCTTGAAAAAGTTACTCATTTTACCCGCATACACGAATAGACCACAAGTTGAATCTTGTCGTCTAACGTAAAATTCTACCTTTCTTCTCGGAAGACCCTTTATTGAGTCTGCCAGATCATTGTCCTTTCAGGACTTGATCATTCCAACCGAAAAACTGGATCTTCCGTCGATATCGCAAGTGCAAACCCGGGGGCCTTCCGAAGTACCATATTACAATCATCACGCCGCGCAGCGACCACTGTACGTGAATGAAAGGTTGCCCGCTTTGCCTTTGCCACCGCCGCAACAGGCATATTCGTCTGGTACTTCATCTCCCCGGGTTGGGTCACTTAGCTCACTTGGATCTTCCTCAATTTTGAACGGAGGTTCTCATTCATCTTACACCACAGCGAGTTCCTCAAACGGACCCAAAACCCCTTCTCCCACTCAAGCTAGCAGTGGTTTACCTGTTTCTCTGCCTCAAGGATCTTACAGTACACCACCTTCAAACCCAGCATACTCTTACAGCCAAGAGCCATATCAGAACAACATGAATCACGGTCCTCAAGATATGTACTATCCTCCACACATGTCGGCTGGTCAACAACCACCACCTCAAACTGCCACATCGGGTGCATTGAGTCAATATCCTCAACATCAACCACCTTTACTTCAACCTGGACCTCCACATTATTCACCGGCGCAGCAAGCACCATACGGTCAATACTATGGCAATGGACTTCAATCTCCACAATCGGCTCAAATTCCTGGATCAATGGGTGGCCAAGGCAACGTTCTACCACTTCCAGCAATGACCACTCAACCTGGTATGCCGAGCCAAGGTTACGGTGGACCACAACAATTTGACCAAACTGGCCAAGTTGCCCCACCAGGAATGAAGCCCAGAGTCACAGCGACTCTTTGGGAAGACGAGGGTAGTTTGTGCTTTCAAGTAGAGGCAAAGGGTGTTTGCGTGGCTCGACGTGAAGGTAAGCTTAGCTCTCTTGAATCAAACAAATCATGCTAACTTGGCAAGATAATCACATGATTAACGGCACAAAATTATTGAACGTTGCTGGTATGACTCGTGGACGACGAGATGGTATCCTGAAAAGCGAGAAAATGAGACACGTTGTGAAAATTGGTCCTATGCATTTAAAGGGTGTTTGGTAAGCAAAACTTTGGAATTTTGGTGCACGTGCATATCTAACCAAAACATCAGGATTCCTTTCGAGCGGGCACTGGATTTTGCAAACAAGGAGAAGATTACGGAATTATTGTATCCTTTATTTGTTCACAACATTGGCGCTCTTTTATACCACCCAACGAACCAGACACGAACGAATGCCGTAATGGCAGCCGCAGAACGTCGAAAGAATGAGCAAAACCAAATGCGGAACCCACAAGCACCTGGTTTGCCTTCATTACACCAACATCACCATCACTCAATGGCTAACTCAATTGGCGCTCCCCTTCCAGGTCCACAGCATTCTCTTGCTCCTCATCCAAATGTTGGTCGTCCTGCTCTCGAAAGATCACACACATTCCCCACCCCTCCCACAAGTGCATCTAGTGTAATGGGCAGTATGGATAATTCTAACGGCAATTTCCAGTGGCCTGGGCAATCCATGGGCAATGTGCAAGGTACCAATCCCCTGTCAATTGACACTGGATTAAGTAATGCTCGCTCAATGCCAACAACTCCAGCTACCACCCCTCCAGGAACTGCAGTTCAATCGATGCAACAATATCAACAAACTCAACAACCTTACGACTCTCGACAGATGTACTCTCAAGCACCCCCGCCACAGAATGCGTATGCCCAAGCCCCACCACCTCAACAAAGCATGCCTCAATACTCGCAACAGCCAAATTCATACATCAAGAATGAAATGGGTCCACCATTGGCGAGAGCACCAGATGCTGAGCCCCAACATCATGAACCAAAGGATTCGAATGGGATGATTCATCACCAAGGGAATGGCCAAGTTGAGGAAGAACATGATCAAGATCATGATGGCGGTGAATACACTCATGATAGCCAGGGTAATTACGATTCAAGTCGTCGGCCATACAATTACTCGAATGGCACAGCCGTAGGATCAATAACAGGTGAACACACCCATTTGTCACCAGAGATGACTGGCTCACCAAATAATCCAGCTTCCGGACGAGCAACTCCTAGAACGGCGTCAGCACCACAAACATACTATGCACAACAGCAAGGTGGTTACAGTACACCCCCGCGAATTCAACCTCCCTCGAGTAATTTGTATAATGTAGTCAGTCAAGAACGCGGTACAGCTAATGGCAGCGCAGGTGGTGATGTTTACGCACCACAATCAGATCTTGGAGCTTCAATGTCTAATGGTTATGCCGGACAGCAAAATATCATGAATGGTGCACCTGGGAGTAACAAACGTGGCAGAGATGACGATGACGATGGTCGACCATCCAGTAGAGGTCCAGGAATGGCCGATGCTGATGGTTTAAAGAGACGGAAAACGATCCGTGAGGGTTCAGTTTCTGGACCATCTTACAATCCAGGACTCAACCGAGCTCAATCGACCATTGCCCAAAGACGCCGGTAACTCGAATCGATGATTTTGAACGCATATTTTTGCACTTTCTTCCAGTGATCTGATTTTCTCCATCATGATCTACTGTTTTTTTTATTCTTGGCTCGCGCCACAAAAGCATTCTCGACAATCACAAGCACACTCTTTGAAAGAATTTTTTTTATCTTCACGATTGTCTTTGTATTCGCCGAACATAGATTCAGCAAATTATTTGAACCTGGAATGACGACGAGTTTATGACTGAAATTTTTAGATGACCCTAACGTGGATCATCGGAACGGCTTTAACGAATTTACGCTATGCAAACATGGGAGAGGAAATAATCTGTTGAGAAATGATCCCAAAGATATACACATGCAAGCGGGATTTATTTACTTGGGGGTTTTCATTTTGCACTCGAGAACAAAAAAACGAAACACGCCTATTAATGACACTCTAGGCGTCGACATGAAATATTTGGGATTTGGGCATTTTGTGTTTTTCGTTCATGGGAAAGGCTTAAATGATTTGTTTTCGTTCAGATGGACGACCAAAATAATGAATGGGGCCATTTTCTCTTCGACATCTACAGCACCGAGGAACCTGTCTCAATATTTTCTCATGATGTCGGGAAGGATGAATAGAGAAAGGGAAACTGGATCGCTGAATAGACAATAATTTTGTTTAATGTTTTCGGCTTTTCTTTCCTGGACCGACTTCTAGTTTCTTTGCTTTTTGTTGAGCTCCTGTTGAGCTTGACGTTTACACACATTATTATTATGATTTATGACCATTTCCTTGCTTATCTTGTTAGTTGTTGCAGTTGTGAGTTTCCTTGGGTTTGATGGGGAGGGGGATGAAATGGATTCTACCACATGAGGATGATTAGCCCAATGGATGAATGCCATATGTATGGAATGTGTGGAAAAGGTGCGAAGCTTGAATGTTTTGTAACTAATCCTGAACGCAAATGGGTTGACGGTGATCGGAATGAATAGAATGGGAATGGTTGAATGATATGACTTTATGATGAAGATGGATGGATGATTGGATGGGTTCGGGGGTATTATTGGAATTCAACTGGAACTGAACTGAACAAGATACAAAAATTTAAAAGTTGTTGATGAATTTTTTATATATGTAATTGTGATATTGTGAGATGTGAATTTTCTTTGTCTTGGATGTAATGTATGTGACATGATGGGTTTGAAAAGTGATGTGGGATCATAATATTTGGTAAGAACTTCAAGTGGAACGGAGATGAAGATCGATCTTACTTAATTATCTCTGATGATTGTACTCTATTATCTTGTGAACTTTCCGCTTAGTTAAAGGCTCACTTCTGCGTCGTACTCTTTGCATATACCTATTTAGGCATTTGGAGCTTAAAATTCTCACTCATGAAATGCTGAATCAAATGAATCAAAGGTTATTTAGGATTTTGAGTTGATAGATTGAATGATTTCTGTATATCTGAGATGATTTTGAAGAGGAGATTAGTATTGAGGAATGTATAGATAAATAGATAGATAAATAGATAAAGAAATAAAGAAATAAAGAAATAGATAGATAGATAAATAGATAAATAGATAATTAATTAATTAATTAATTAAATAGAGTCGAAGGGGAAGGAGAAGAGGAAGGAGAAGGAGAAGGGGGGGGGGGGTAGGAGTGGAATTGTATACTTACTTTAGTATTTGAGTATCGGGCGTGAAGTTCGGTTCGAATTGCGATGTGTGAAGCGTGAGTATTTTTTTGGTATTTTTTTGGGCGGGGTATTTTGGTGGATGGGGAGGGGGGTTTGGGTAGTATTTCTTGGGGGGAAAGGGATTGGATGGAGACTCGGAAGTTAGTGGGGAGGGAGAGGGAGAGGGGTATACTGTATGAATATTGATTGTTAGTATTTAGTAAATAGCTTCAATTCACTAGCTACTGTATTACAGTTGTAAGCGAATGCGGAATACAGTAGCTCTAGCGAAAGCAGAAGAGACTAGCTCTTCTTGTAGTGTCTATATAAAGGCCTACAACTTCCTGTATTTAGCTAGCTCTTTAGACAGAATACAATATAGACATTTAGGACCTACGAATACCGTGGGTGCTACGTCTTCCGTATCCTTCTCGAACCAACATATACTATGCATGTGCTTGAGACTATGAGAGTGAGATACACTTACACTCACTGATGGGATACCCGTCTACTGAGAAGTATTTGGGGAGGCGGGAAATTTTCCAATCTCATCACTCTGAAAACTTTCTCTTTTTATTTATTCATCTCCTCTCATGAAAAATATCCGCTCTCTTTCTCTTTCTCTTTTCGTTCTCTTCCTTTGACATTTTTTACCACTCTTTGGTTATTTCAACCCATTTAATAAGTAGCACCCGGTACTCGGTACCTAGAATCAGGAACTGCAAAAACCAAATAAGCACAGTAGATTTCCGCTGATTTTGAGCATGAATACTAGGAATCTGATCGAAAATTTAACCATCGAGATAGAACGAGTGCTAGAATCCGAGTTGACTTTTGTGGAGAGGAGCGTGACGCTGAGGAAAGTGATTGTGAGTTGAGAGAGACGGCGATGATGATAGGCGATAGTGAACATGATCGCATTGCTTTACTTCAAGTGATGTGGCCATGTATATAGTCGTCGTTATTAGAATCTAAATCCTGTGGCAGGTTTACAAAATCCTCAAAGTAAATCACAACCCGACATTGTTCGACGAAGCGAATACAAACTTTTTCACTTGGTCATCGAATCAAGAAGCCTTACGGGTAGATATTCCCGATACACAGGTTTAATTGCTTTACCTCTATCTTGAACCACGTTTTTCTGTTCTCTCGCTTCTTATTCGTGGATATTATCTTGAAACAGATGTTATATAGTACATCTTAGAGGGAAGAATGAGATTTTTGAGGATGGGAAATTGCTAGTGGATCTTAGACGAGTAATGAAGGGGAGGATGATATACAACTAGACTACTAGTGGATGTATTGGTTCAAAAAAGCTTCACGGCTGACTGTATACTACAAATCCATTTCAACATGGAAAGTGGACGGGGAATTGGTTTCTTTTCTCGTTCATCTTGATCTGTCTGGACTTTTCTACTTTCTCTCAACTTCAGGAAAGAGAACCGAAATAATTACTGCTGATTGCTAATCATATTTACATGTTCACTCGTGAACACTAAATGGAAACTCATTGCAAGTGAAACTTTAGATTGTTGTCATTATTATTATACAAAGTAAGATTCATTCATTCACATCTTCATTGGAAAGAAAACCTATGCCTGCTAACAGTTGGTGCTCAATTCCATGGGATGATCCATTCCCCACCAGTCATTCGAGGTGCTTGATAGCTACATAAGATTGCTCGTCCCATCTTCCCTTGTTTTATCCCATACACATCATAAACATCAAAATCGAAGGGATGATATGAATGCCCAAACTCCAATCCAGGTTTAAACTCTTTTACCATTCGATTCTATAATCCCAGATCCATTCGCCATATCCTCTGTTCATAAAAATCTATCCCCCCAGATTGAAATATTCTCAACCCAACCTATACCATTCAATCAACCCGCCAAATCAAAAATCTCATTTTCCCCCCTTCTTTAGGGAACTTCAATGTTCCCTCCACTAACCCTCTCTCCTTAACACCCTCCACCGCCTCCGTAAAACATCTTCTCATCTCCGTAGACGGGCTTGACTGCGGCACTGACAAGACCGGCGATCGAATCTCGTGATTATTGATATGGCCCCACGATTTGTCAAAATCGTCTTGTTCGTCCACTTTAGGTTTTGGAAACTGAGGACGGCAATGGGGTTTTACTTTTGGTTTTGATATTTGGGATTTGGGGAGAGAGTCTGAAGGAGGCTCAGTGGTGGATTTATCGATGGAAGTGTAGACGAGGCCGAGGAAAATCCCTTGAAGAGAGGCGTCGCCGGTTACTTCGGAAAGAGAGAGAGTTGAGATCATGGGGGCGGTGGAGCCAGAAGAGGTTGGTAGGTTTGAGTTGAAGAATGAGTGGGAGAGGAGGACATTCGGGAGGTGATGGTGAAGAGATGTGGGGAGAGTGGATGTGAAGGAGACAGGTGCCATTGGGAGAGATGGCTTAAAAATGCAGGATTGAAGTGAAGAGGGAGTTGGACGAGGTAATGAGGGGTCGTTCATTGGTCGTTGAAATGATCCTAAATGAATTTTTTAGCTGCTGGTTGTATATTTGAGATCTTGTAACTGGCGGAAAATTCCCAGGAATATCAGATGAAGAGAAGCTGGACTAAACAGAAATGTGCCAACCACTTACGTTCATTCTTATCAACTGCCCTCGCAGAAACAACAGCCCCCAATCCTGCCATCATAAAAAAATTAGAAAATAACATTTTTCTTTCGATAACTTTCCCTTTTCAAGATAATTTCCTCTAAGAAAAATATTACAACTTAATCGAATCGAAAATATCTAAGACTCTTTCCTGAAGTAATCCGCGGCCGGCCGTAGCCATCCAAAATCCACGGGGGAAGCTCACATTTTAAACATTCCTACTCTCTAAGCTTAAACGCCAAGTGAGGGACCAGTAACGCTCGATGCCTTATCAGTGACAAACAGATTAATATCCCCATATTTTCAGATTCACATACCTCAAAAGCATAGGTAGAAAAGCTTGACCAGAGAAAAATGATATTGGAAACATCAAAACGTCATCCCAAGAATTGACTGTTATTGGGTAATATTGATCTTGTTACATGGTTTGTGTCAAGGAGCCTCAGGGGTCGTTCGTTTTAAGTTACCGAGCATGCACATGCGTAGCGAGATCGTACCCGCCAGTCAATCCACTAGGAAGAATTGAGAGAAAAATTGCATAAAGCTTAGGAGGAGATCTCGGAAAACATATGGAATGTTCAAGATGAAAGCCAAGAGATTGGCGGGTTTGGGAAGGTAGTACCGATAGATACGCCAAGAGATGAGAGGAAGTTGATACCGTGACAGGATAAGTGGGGAAACGGCGTTTGGGCCAAATTCTTGGAGGTTTAAGAAGGCGAAGAGAAGAGGCGCACACTATCACGCGTTCAACAGATCAAATCCATGTACATGGGCTCGTCTCAAGTTTTTCAGACATCTCAAGTATCAACAGTCAAAGAATGAACACGACGCGATTGCGCCATGAAAGATATACGCCTGGATTTGCAAACATGAGTACCTTTTATGATGCGATAAGAAAACTATATTGAGAGATTTTCATGCTTAAACCTTTTTTGACCCTCTCCCTCGCCATATTCAACCGACATTTGACCATTGCCGCGAACTTTGTATTTGTAGATCATAAGACCTTCTAAACCAACTGGTCCCCGTGCATGGATCTTGTTTGTTGATATTCCTACTTCGGTACCGAAGCCAAAGCGCATACCATCAGCCATGCGACTGGACGTATTCCAGAAAACTCCTGCTGAGTCAACGCCAGCCATAAATCGCTCGGCGAGATCGGAAGATGACGTGAGTATCACATCTGTGTGATGAGAACCATGAATGTTGACATGTGAAATGACTTCGTTGATATCAGAAACAGTCTTGATAGCAAGAACAAGGGATAAATGCTCCGTGTCAAAATCACTTTCAACTGCATCTTGGAGGAAGACTGCTTGATTAGAAGGAAGTCTTGATGCGAGAGCTGATTTGCTCGAAGCATCACATCGTAGAGAAACACCCTTCTCTAATAGTGCTTCTGCAACTTGGGGGAGGATTGTCTCGAGCGCTGCTTGCTCAACGAGTAAGGTCTCCACGCTATTGCATGCGGCTGGATATGAAGTTTTCGAATCAACAATGACCCTTGTTGCCATTGCTGGGTCAGCCGTTTTCTCAAGATATATCGAGCAAAGGCCATCTGCGTGACCCATGACTGGAATTTTGGTATTTTCCTTGATATATCTGACTAATTCGTTCGAACCTCTTGGGATAACGAGATCAATATATTGGTCCAATGCCAACAATTGAGGAATTACATCCCTGGTGGTAACTAATTGGATGGCTGCTGCGGGAACTTCTGTCGATTGTAAAGCTTCTGAGATTACCGTAGAAATAGCGATGAAAGATTCGGTAGATTCTTTTCCACCTGTAAAACATTAGTTTTCATTTG